GCACAGACTGAGTATATGTAGAGAGAGGCACAGACTGAGTATATGTAGAGAGAAGCACAGACTGAGTATATGTAGACAGAGCACAGACTGAGTATATGTAGAGAGAGGCACAGATTGAGTGTATGTAGACAGAGGCATAGACTGAGTGTATGTAGACAGAGCACAGACTGAGTATATGTAGACAGAGCACAGACTGAGAATATGCAGACAGAGGCACAGACTGAGAATATGCAGACAGAGGCACAGACTGAGTATATGTAGAGAGAGGCATAGACTGAGTATGTGTAGACAGAGGTGCAGACTGAATGTATGTAGACAGAGCACAGACTGAGTATATGTAGACAGAGGCACAGACTGAGTATGTGTAGACAGAGGCACAGATTGAGTATATGTATACAGAGCACAGACTGAGAATATGTAGACAGAGGCACAGACCGAGTGTCTGTAGACAGAGCCCAGGCTGAGTATATGTAGAGAGAGGCACAGATTGAGTGTATGTAGTCAGAGGCATAGACTGAGTATATGTAGACAGAGGTACAGACTGAATGTATGTAGACAGAGCACAGACTGAGTATATGTAGACAGAGCACAGACTGAGAATATGCAGACAGAGGCACAGAATGAGTATATGTAGAGAGAGGCATAGACTGAGTATATGTAGACAGAGGTGCAGACTGAATGTATGTAGACAGAGCACAGACTGAGTATGTGTAGACAGAGGCACAGATTGAGTATATGTAGACAGAGCACAGACTGAGTATATGTAGACAGAGGTGCAGATTGAGTATGTAGACAGACGCAGACTGAGCGTATGTAGAAGAGGCACAGATTGAGTGTATGCAGACAGAAGCGCAGAGTGTGTAGACAGAGGCATAGACAGAGTGTATGTAGATAGCGCAGACTGAGTATATGTAGACAGAGGCGCAGACTGTATGTAGAGAGAGACACAGACTGAATGTACGTAGACAGAGGCACAGTGTCAGGACAATGAGAGTGCTGTGGGAGCCTCTAGGGAGGACTTTCCGAGAGATGATGTGTAAACTGAAACCTGAAGGACAATTAGGGAGTCAGCCAGGCAAAGGGAGGGGAATAAAAAGTGCAGAGGACTGAAGGGAAGAGATGATAGGCCATCACTGAGTCATACAGTGGAGAATGGCAGAAATAAAGCTGAAGAGGTGAGCAATGGCCAGATCACAGAGGTCCCTCGTAAGCCACTGAGGTGTTTAGACCTAGAGGGCAGAATGAGCCATGGTAAGTTTTTCTTTTTCCATAAACTTTTATTAAATATAACATGGAAAATGCATAGATCATAAGGCTGTAGCTCATTGAATTAACATAAAACGGACACATTTGTATCATCACCACTTGAGTTAAGAAATAGAGCATTATCAACACCCCAGAAGCTTTGCTTGGGCCCTTTCCCAATCTCAGTGCTCTGTCCTCCCAAAAGGGAACCACTCTCCTGACTTCCAATACCAGAGGTTAGTTTTACCTGCTTTTGAACTTTATGTAAATGGAACTGTACGGTGTATATTCATTTGTTTCTGCTTTAAGATTATGTTTGTGAAATTCACCTGCAGTTTTGTATGTAGTTTATTCACTTTCATTGCTTTATATTTTAAACCAAAAAAAACAAACCTGTTGCTGTTGAGTCAATTCTGACTTACAGTGACCCTGGAGGACAGAGTAGAACTGTCAGATAGGGTTTCCAAGTAGCGGCTGGTGGATTCGAACTGCCGACCTTTTGGTTAGCAGCCAAATGCTTAACCACTGTGCCACGAGGGCCCTGCTCTGTATTTTAGTATATGAATATACTACATTTATTCGTTATTTTATTTTGGACGTTTGAGTTTCCACTTTTTTGCTGTTACGAAGTGATGATTCTATGAATAATCTTGTAGGTGTTATTGGTGTACATGTGCACGTCTTTCTGCTGCAGAAATGTGTATAAGTAAGAGGAGAATTGCTGGGCCATAGAGTGTTAGTTCCACGTTAGTGTAGATACTGCCAAACGCTTTTCAAACTACCAATGTATACTCTCACCAGCAGTGGATAAGAGTTCTAATTGCTTTACATCTTACCAACACTTGGTATTATACTTTTAAATTTTAGTCATTCTGATGGGTGTATAGTATTACTGATTTGCAGGAGTCGTTTATATATTCTGCACGAGTGTTTTATATGTACTACAATATCTTCTCCCAGTCTGTGTCTTACATTTTCACTTAATGATGTCTTTTGATTTTAATGTAGTCCAAAAGTGGTCTTTTCCTTTACGATTAGTGCTGTGTCCTGTTTAAGAAATCTTTCCTATCTTGAGGTTGGGAAGATATTGTCTCATTTTTTAAAATACATATGCACTTGTAACGTATATATTGTTCTGCAACATCCTTTCTTTTCCCACGCAAGTCTAGAGTTTAGTATATAAGAAACCATGGTCTACTAAGTGAATTTTCAATCATCTTATCTAACTTTCAGCTTAGTGTTTTTGGTGTCATGAATACTGGAATCCTATTAAATGAAATTGAGATTTTGAATTCAGATTTAAAAATATTACCGTATATTGTAAAGAAAATAATGAAGCAAATTAATGATTTTCTACTGCTTATCTGTTACAGGCTGCCTTGCTGGCTCTTCAAGAAAACGGACTAGAAGCAACCACAGTGAAACAGGAGCACTTTTTAAAATCACTTAAGACTGTAAAACCATCCTTAAGTCACAAGGACTTGACTTTATGTGAAAACTTATTTCAGAAACAAGAATTGTTCTAACTCAAGAGCATATTTAAAAATGAGTTTACACCCTTGTTGAAGGATTAATTGAAGTGTGAACTTGCCCTGTGGTTTCACATCTTCACATTTTTAGAGTGTTTGTGTTATTTCATGTAAATAAAAAATTTGTGTCTGATAAGCAAGGGTTTCTCTTATCTCTGAAGGGCGTATCAAAATGCCATGATTTAAGAAGAAAGTATATATGTGTGTGTTTTGATTTTGTTGTGGTTGTTTTTGTTTTTTTAGTTGATTTGCTTTTTTAACTTTATTTTGAAATAATTTCAAACTTACAGAAATGGTGGAAGAATAGTATAAAGAACTCTTGTATACTCTTAAATTGACCAGTTTCTAACATTTTGCCACATTTGCTTTATATATGTCTGTATCTATCTCTATACACACAATAGTTTTCTGAACCATTCGAGAATAGGTTGTGTACATCATGCTCCTTTACTCTTTAATACTTCAGTGTATATTTCTTACAAATGAAGATATGTATATGACCACAGTACAGTTACTAAATCAAGAAATTTAACATTGATATAATATTTTAGTATATTATCCATATTCCAGTTTCATCAATTGTTCCACTAATGTCCTATATAGTAATTTTTCCCCATGTACAGGATCCAGTCTAGGATCACACACTGCATTTAGTTGTCATGTCAGTCTCTCTCTTTTTTTCAGTTGCCGTAGAGTCAATTCCAACTCATGGTGACCCCGTATGTGTCAGAGCAGAACTGTGCTCCATAGGGCTTTCAATGGCTGATTTTTCAGAAGTAGATCGCCAAGCCTTTCTTCCAAGGCTCCTTTAAATCTGTAACAGTTCGTCAGCCTTTAACATTTTTGAAGAGTATAGACCAATTATTTTATAGAGTAATTTTATAGCCCATATATAATTGTATATAGGCAGAATATTTTATAGAAGAATTGGTTCCTTGGTTTGTGTTTGAGGTCTCATCATGATGGACTCAGGTATGTATCACCAGTGGGACACTACATATGTGGTGGTGTGTCCTCGGAGCATCACATCTAGAGGCATGTGATGTCTCTACATTGTTGGTGATGTCAGTTTTGATCACTTTATGATATTGTCTGGTTTTTCCATTTCATAACTACTATTTTTCCTTTTTAAATTATAATGAGAAAGATTATGTGTACTTTTTTTCCTTTATTACAAAATAATTTAGAATGCTAGAAAATGTGAAACATGAAGAAGAAAACATTTTAATATTTAACCTGGTCCTTCATGTACATATCATTTTTTAAAACCAAAAAGGAATGGTACTGCACAACTCCTGTTTTTCTCACCTCACCATATCTGGTACACATCTTAATGTGCCAATCTTCTCATGAGGTACTGTGCTAGGTACTGGGTGTACAGTGAACAAGACAGACAAGGCACTGACAGGCCAGCTGGGAGCAGACATTAGGGAAATTACACATGAACTAATCAATCTGTATGCTGAGCAAATAATCCAAGAAGCCAGACTATAGGAAGAAGAATGCAGCATCGGGATTGGAGGAAGACTTAACAACCTGTGATATGCAGATGACACAACCTTGCTTGCTTAAAGTAAAGAGGACTTGAAGCATTTACTGATGAAGATCTAAGACTACAGTCTTCAGTATGGATTACATCTCAACATAAAACAAAAATCCTCACGACTGGACAAATAAGCCACATCATGATAAATGGATAAAAGATTGAAGTCCAGGATTTCATTTTACTTGGATCCACAATCAATGCCCATGGAAGCAGCAGTCAAGAAATCAAAAGATGCATTGCATTGGGCAAATCTGCCGCAAATGACCTCTTTAAAGTGTTGAAAAGCAAAGATGTCACTGAGGACTAAGGTGCGTCTGACCCAAGTGATGGTATTTTCAATTGCCTCATGAATGCGAAAGCTGGACAATGAATAATGAAGACGGAAGAAGAATTGACGCCTTTGAATTATGGTATTGGCAAAGTATTGAATATACCATGGACTGCCAAAAGAACGAACAATCTGTCTTGGAAGCAGTACAGCCAAAATGCTTCTTAGAAGCGAGGATGACAGGACTTCGTTTCACATACTTTGGACATGTTATCAGGAGGGACCAGTCCCTGGAGAAGGACATCATGCTTAGTAAAGTAGAGGGTCAGCAAAAAAGAGGAAGACCCTCAATACAGTGGATTGACACAGTGGCTGCAACAATGGTTTCAAACATAGCAACGATTGTGAGGATGGCACAGGACCAGACAGCGTTTCGTTCTGTTCTACATAGGGTTGCTATGAGTCAGAACTGACTCGAGGGCACCTAACAGCAACAATCGCAAGGGTGAGAAGTGCTTCAAAAAAAGTGTTGGGTACTATGAGAACATAGTGCATGAAATAAGTCATACATTTTAAACAGTTGTTGGAAAGTTTCCTATTTCTGAATGGAGCCAGGACTATTGATTTGGCAATAACTCACTATTTTGGAATATTTAAGGGAAAGACATCTGTTGGTCCCATCCCATCAGAAGCAAAGGAGAATGAAGAAAACCAAAGACACAAGGAAAATATTAGTCCAAAGGGCTAATGGACCACAACTACCACAACCTCCACCAGCCAGAGCCCAGAAGAACCAGATGGTGTTGGCTACCACCACTGACCACTCTGACAGGGATCACAATAGCGGGTCCTGGACAGAGTGGGAGAAAAAAGTAGAACAAAATTCAAATTCACAAAAAAGACCAGACTTACTGGTCTGACAGACTGGAGGAACCCCGGAGACTATGGCCCCTGCTAACTCAGAACTGAAGCCACGCCCAAGTCCACCTTTCAGCCAAGGGGTAGACAAGCCTATAAAACACTCACACCCGTGAGGAATGTGCTGCTTAGATCAATCGAGTATACGAGACCAGATGGGCAACACCTACCCAAAAGAAAAGGCAAGGAGGCAGGAAAGGGACAGGAAAACTGGATGAATGGAAACGGGGAACCCGGGGTGGAAAGGAGGACAGTGCTGACATATTGCAGGGATTGCAACCAATGTCACAAAACAATTTGTGTATAAATTTTTGAATGAGAAACTAATTTGCTCTGTAATCTTCCACCTAAAGCACAAAAAAAAAAAAAAAAAAGAAAATTCAAAGTGATAAGAGTAACCAATAGAAAAACTAAAATTTTAAATATAGACAAGAAAAAATGGAAGGAGAAAGGGGAGAGGTGTGGTTAATGAAATCATCACAGCAGAGACTCAATAAAAACAAAAAGCCATTGCCATCGAGTTGATTCCACTCATAGTGACCCTATAGGACAGAGTAGAAATGCCTCAAAGAGTCTCCAAGGAGCGGCTGGTGGATTCAAACTGCTGACCTTTATGTTAGCCGCCATAGCTCTTAACCACTGCGCCACCAAGTCTTCAGAGACTCAATACCAAAAACCAAATCTGTTGGCTGTCAAGTTGATTCCGACTCATAGCAACCCTATAAGACGGAGTAGAAATGCCCCATAGAGTTTCCAAGGAGCGGCTGGTAGATTTGAACAGCTGACCTTTTGGTTAGCAGCCAAACACTTAACCACTGCACCACCAGGGCCCCACAGAAACTCAATAGAAACTGTTAATAAATCAAGCAATAGAGGTTTATTATTTTTAAAAAATTAGAGGAAAGCCCTGTTTGATTTATAGATATAAAATATAAGTCAATTAAAATTATTGTAAGAAACTAACTCCTTGCATTCAAGTAATAGAGAAGCTACTTAAAAAAACTTACTGGAATGCTATTTCCACTCCCCTTCTCTTGACCTTTCAGGACAAGGCAGCCATTAAGTCTTTGCCATCCATCAGGAGACCTGATGAGCACTGGCCTAAACCCCTTACTTCAGACATCCATAGCTGTGGGCCCGTGTACCGCTCTAGAAAAAGTTTCTAGTGATTAGGCTGGAAATTCAGTACTCACACTTTCGTTCAAGGTTGAGTTTTTATTTGAAAATATCTGTTTAAATTGTATTTATAACTTCTCGACAGAACTTTGAAAGCCCCCTGAGGACAAAGATCATGTGTTTCCTCTCACTGAAATAATAAATGATGAAGCCAGGACAAGGATTTCTGTGACTGGGTTTTAATGTGCTCTGAGGATGGCTCTGCGTAACTTCCAAGCTGTATTCTTCATCTGTAAGAAAATTAACACTTCAACTTTTAAGCATCTTTCTGATATATTAGAAAGTGTGAACAGCTTTCCCTATACACTGAGCTCAAACTCCTTTCTGGGTCACATTAACAGTCGGCCTTAAACAATATAGTACAACCCCACCCGCCCCCCAACTTAGGAAAGGCAAATATTATAAACTTGGTAACAAGGCAGCCACTGAAGGATGATGGGGTGTCAGCATTAACACATCAGGGATGGTCAGAAATAATTTCAACAAAAAATATTTAATGAAAGAAGAAAAAATTAAAATCAAAGTTTAAATTGGTAGGGTGGGGACCAAGCAGGCCTGGTTCAATGCCCTTGCAGGCCTGGGTGGCAATAGCTAGAGAAGGCCATAGAAGTGAGGAATGGAAGCTCCCCCAAGGGATGATGGACCTCAGAGCAGCCCCAGGAAGTGACGCTGGTGGGTTGCCAGGGTGGATTCCTTGAGGAACTGCAAGGGCTTGGAGGGCTGGGAGCTGTGCCTGCTGCTCATCCTGGTCATCCAGGCAGCACCTTCTGGGTGCCCCAGCCAGTGCAGGGCTTGGTGCAAGGAGGACCCTGATTTCATCCCTACTCTCAGGTTGCCGGTGGTAAGGCTTTGAATTCCCTTGTATTTGGGGGTGGGAAGTGTTCTTGTTGCTAAGAAACCGGATGACATACTCAGATAAGTTTTTCTCTGGGTAGTTTTGCCTACAGAGCCCTGGTGGCACAGTGGTTACGAGCTACAGCTGCCAGCTGCTCCTTGGAAACCCTATGGGACAGACCCTACTCTGTCCTATAGGATTGCTATCAACTCGATGGCAAGGGTTTTTGGGTTTTTTGCCCATAGCAACCTCAGACAAAAGGGCAAAAAATACGAAGTTTCTTTAATCTTATACTTATTTTTGCAATAGTATTTTTTTATTGAGTAGATAATTTAAAATTAAAATTCAGTTGCTGCATTTGCCTTAATGTATGTATGTTTGACTGTAAAATATAATTTTGCACCCAAAGCACAGTGTTGTAGTTCCTTGAATCTAGGGAAAGACCAAACAACATATTGACCTTGCATTTCTCAAAAGCTCAGTAAACTTGGGCATTAACCAACAGAGAGGGAAATGGGGCTTTCTGGGTTTAATTTTCATTGCTGTAAATAGAAATGAGCAGATCTTAAAGGTTATATGGGCACATCATATCTGCAACTACATAAATTAGTGAATTTCTTTTTAGTTTTTTTTTTTATTATTGTGCTTTAGATGAAGGTTTACAGAACAAATTAGTTTCTCATTAAACGATTAATACGCATATCGTTTTTTGACTTACCAATCCCACAACATGTCAACACTCTCCCCTTCTCGACCTTGGGTTCCCCATTACCACCTTTCCTGTCTCCTCCTGCCTTCCGGTCCTTGCCCCTAGGCTGGTGTGCCCTTTCGGTCACATTTTGTTTTATGGGCCTGTCTAATCTTTGGCTGAAGGGTGAACCTCAGGAGTGACCTCAGTACTGAGTTAAAAGGGCATCTGGGGACCAGGTGTCAGGGTTTCTCCAGTCTCTGTCAGATCAGTAAGTCTGATCTTTTTTCCTGAGTCAGAATTTTGTTCTACATTTTTCTGCAGCTCTGTCTGGGACCCTCTATTGTGATCCCTGTCAGAGCAGTCAGTGGTGGTACCTGGGCACCATTTAGTTGTGCTGGACTCAGACAGGTGGAGGTTATGGTAGTTGTGGTCCATTAGTCCTTTGGACTAATCTTTCCCTTGTGCCTTTGGTTTTCTTCATTCTCCCTTGCTCCAGATGGGGTGAGACCAGTGGAGTACCTTAGATGGCTGCTCACAAGCTTTTAAGACCCCAGATGCCACTCACCAAAGTAGAATGTAGAACATTTTCTTTATAAACTATGTTATGCCAATGGAGCTAGATGTCTCCTGAGACCATAGTCCCCAGCCCTTGGCCCAGTAATTTTGTCCCTCAGGGAGTTTGGATGTGTCTATGAATAATTTGTGAATTAAAAAAAATTTTTTTTGATAATTTTCAAACATTCATAAAAATTGAATAGTATAGCAAACCTCCACATACCTATCACCTAGATTGAATAATTGTTAATAGTTCTAAATTTGTTTCATTTATTTTTTAGCTGATGTATTTAAATTCCAGACATCATATTTCTCTCAAGTATTTCCATATAGTCTCTAAATAATGACATTTTCTTACATAACCATAATACCGTTATTACACCTAACGAAATTACCAATACTCCTTTACTGTATCTCATATCTGGTTTATATTAATTGCCCCCAAAATGTCTTTTTCCAGTTGGTTTGTCTATTGTGTGTTCAAATAAATACTCCCCACCTTTGTCAAGCTTCTTCAGACCTCCTTAGTAGGAATTAATCACCTGCCTTTGGGTTAGAGTTATTTATAGGCACAAAATTGTAAGCACCTTGCAGTAGCTAAGGGTAGGGTGCAGAAAGTGTGGCATTTGGCGCTAGACAGACCTAGGTTCTGATCACATCCCTGCCACTTACCAGCTGCTTGCGACTCAAGCCTCTCTGAGCCTAAATAACACACCCACTTTGCAAAATTGCCACGAGGAATCTGGCACAGTGTCTGACACACAGCTCCTGGTTTGGTGGGATTGTTATTATTTCTGTGGATTAGCAGCCGCTGGCAGGCTCTGTTCAAAATGAGGCTGCTATATAGGGGTGAATTAGGAGAAGGGGCCTAGGAAGAAGCCAGCCGAAGAGGTCCTCTGCAGAGATAGACCTTCTCTTGAAATTTTCGCAGCTGATTCATGCTGTTTCTTCTCTTCTCCTCCCCTCTCTACCCACCCCCCAATTTTCTTAATGGAAAAAATTAGGATACAATGGGAGTTATTCTGAATTGGCCTTTACAATTTAATTTTAACTATTTTCACACGTGCGTTGCATCACATTTTTGGAGTCTTTCACATGATTACATTCATAGCAATTTACCTACTTACACCTAGAACCTCCCTTGGGACTCACTCCCCCTTGCCCTCAATTTCTACCTCCTACACCTGAGCCCTCCAGGCCCCTTGCGGGCGGGGGGAACGTCGGGAACGACCAGGAGGACCAACGCGGAGTCCGCACGCGCGGGGCAGCGGATACGGACAGAGGCGAGCTGCTCCCCGCCTGCGGGCACGGTGTCCTGTAGGGGGCGCCCGAAGGCCGGGCGTCGGGCGAGGATAGCGCGTCGGGCCCGCAAGCTCCCCGCCCGCCCCGCCTGCGTGAGCAGGACGCGCGGCCCGGCCCCAGCGGCGGTTGTTGCCGGTATATAAGGTGGAAGGCGCGTCTCCGCTCAGGTCTGGACGCCGACATCGTCCGCGAGCCTCCCCGCCTCCAGGTGAGGCCACCCTTCCGAGAAGGCAGTGATGTGCCGGCCTTTGGTTGGCTTTTGGAGCTTGTCGGACGTTTTGGTGCCCATCAAATTGGGTCCTAGCGGCCAGTGTTTTGATCAATATTATGGATTTTTTTATTCTAGGTTTGACATTCTACACGGCAGTCATCATGAGCTTTTTTCAACTCCTGATGAAAAAGAAGGAGGTAAGTTTTTAAAGCAATCATCTTTAAAAGCATGACTAAAATGTTAACTTTTTAAAGATGAAATGATGGCGCAGATTTTGAAAAAAGTATAAAATGATATATTGTTGTTTTGCCGTATTTAAAATGTTTCAGATTGAAACATTTCAATATTTACCCTCTGTTAGCTCATTCCTTTGGTGCTGATTACGAGTGTCGCAGCGGGCGGAGCCTCATCTTTTGCTCTATATTCCCTTCGAAAAACTGATGTGATGTAAGTAGGCATTATTTATAAAAACGTTTTTAGGTGTTTAGCTGACCTTCAGCTTATGAAATATGTGATATTTCTTCGTTTTTCCCCCAGGATAAGAATGTCAAATCATGAACTTGGAGTCAGGGCTAGAAAGCGTCCTGATAGCAGAAGACAGACTTTTAAGTGATGATTATTAATAAATTAGTCTGTTCTTGTGTCTGAATAGCCTTTCATCCATTGGCCCTGCTCTGTCTCCTCTGCCAGTGAAGTAAAATATGATTTGATTTTTAAATTTGATTTTTTTTTTTAAATTTAAGTTTTGAAATGTCAAGTTCTTAAAACGGCCTTTTGGGGGTATAGATCATCAAACGTAAATAATCATTTTAATTAAAATTAAAAATTTTAACATATTAGAAAGATATTTCCTAATGTGGTAGAGTTGAGATTCAGTTGTCTGCATCGAACCCAATCTCGCCTTTGCCTATAAGGAGGTAAAGCACTATGTGCCCTGGAATATAAAAAAGATAAACTTGAAACTGACCTTGGCTGATTGCAGGGCTGGAGAGGGCAGTAACTCTGAGCCACTGCAAAATATCTCAGTGCTGAGTTCATCACCTATAGAGCTGCATGAGCCCAGCACCTCTGCAGGAACATTTTTGTTTGCTCTTAACCCGTTGTTATTCAGCTTGTCTAACCAATAAAGGGAATACGGACCTCCCACCCTGGTTAGAGGAATTGATCCTTAATTTTTGAGCCAAACTGTGAAGCTCCCTTAAGGATTCTGCCATGGATTTCAGTTACTACTGATGATTCTTGATAATTAACAAATGAATGCCTAAGTATGCAGACTGGGTCATGTTTATAGACCTAGTATCAGGGTTGGTTTAAAATTCACTTACTTTAACATTTAATTCGCTTTGTTTTATTTTTAGTGTTGATCGAAAAAGAAATCCAGAACCTTGGGAAGCTGTGGATCCTAGTGTACCTCAAAAGGTATTGCTAAATTAAAAGCAAGCGATTTATGTTTAGTCCAAACCTTAGCACCCTTGTTGGCAAAATGCATTTAATACCTTGCCCTTTTAGGGTACCATTTAGTGTGGTGTTTAAGGAGTGTTACGGAGTTTGAGACATCTAGTTCAAATCCTTGCTCCTTTATTAACAGGTGATTTTAGACAATTTAAGGAGCCCTGGTAGCGCAGTGGTTAAAGCACCTTGCTGCTAGCCAAACGCTCAGAGGTTTGAACCCACTAGCCACTCTGCTTGACAAAGATGTGGCAGTCTGCTTCCATTAAGATTACAGCCTTGGAAACCCTCTGGGGCAGAGTTCTACTCTGTCCCATAGGGTTGCTGTGAGTCAGAATCACCTCGAAGGCAATAGGTTAGACAACTTGGCTTCTCTGAGTCTCTGGGAATCTATAAAATGGGCATGATGGTAATATGTTAAAGAAGCTAAAGAAGGTTAGATACACAGGGCCCTTTAGCACAGTGCCTGTCCCATAGTAAGCATTCAGATATTACCTTTCATTATTATAATACGTTATCTAATTTTAACTATTAGTATCTAAAGTTAATACAAGGTCTGTTGTGATAAAGGAGCCCTGGTGGTGCCATGGTTAAGAGTTCAGCTGTTAACCAAAAGGTCGACAGTTCGAATCCACCAGCTGCTCTTTGGAAACCCTATGGGGTAGTTCTGTTCTGTCCTTAGGGTCACTATGAATCGGAATTGACTCAACGGCAATGGGTTTTTTGGTTATTGCTATAAATAATAGGAGCTCTTGAAAACAAGAGTAGCAGTCTCTTTAAGCAAAATTAGATAATACCCACTTTACATCTTAAATATTTTGGAAGTAAGAAACAGATGGAGTTTGTTGGAGTGAACACTGGTTTGTCAGGAAATCTTTTTGCCTTTGTTTTCACAAAACTCTCAAATAGCATCGTTTGACCCGGTGAAAGGACATTCAGATTTTTAAAACTACCGACATCCTGGAGTAACAGTAAACTCTGGAGGATAAATGAGACCTACCTCAATGTGAGTTCTTTGGAAGTCAAGAGCTGCCTAATCCATAGCACAGTCTCTTTTCGTTTTTTGTATAATTTAGATCATTTGTACCCTCATTGAGTCATTAACAACAACAACAAAAAACCAAACCCATTGCCGACTAGTCGATTGCGACTCATAGTGACCCTATAGGATAGCATGGAACTGCCCCATAGGATTTCTAAGGAGAGGCTGGTGGATTCCAACTGCCAACTTTTTTGGTTAGCAGCTGAGCTCTTAACCACTGCAACACCAGGGCTCCCACTGAGTCATTACAAGGAGGAAATTTTATTAAGAGCCTACTAGGTGCCAAGCCCTGTGCTGGGAGCTTTTGGGGCGGTTACACATTGACCCACGAGACACAGACACACCGTTTGAATTTAGGGCTTATGTAAATCCAAGAGAATAAAAAAAAAATGTAAACTGGTTGCTATCGTGTCAGTTCGACTCCGGGCGACCTCACGTGTGTCAGAGTAGAACTGTGCTCTGTAGGGTTGTCAATAGCTGATTTTTTGGAAGTAGGTCACCAAGATTGTTCTTCCAGGGTACCTCTGGGTGGACTCAAATTTCTAACCTTTGGGTTAGCAGCTATGCATTAACCATTTACTCCATAAAAAATCTAGAACCTGTTAAATGAGAGTGGGGCAAATGTGTATGGACTTTCTCTGATCCCATAACATACAGGAACCCAAGGGCTTTTCAGAGAGATGGAGTGATAGAAGCCAGCCCCAGCCCGTTAACCGTTTAGTGCATGTTTTAGAGATGGGAAGAAGGGGTTCATTGATTACAAACGCTTTGGCGATGCTTTTTTTGAAGGGGAGCATGGACAAAACCCAAAAGGGGGACCTGAGGAGAAAGGGCAGATCCTCAACAAAACATTTGTGTTTGTTTGTTTGAAGCTGATAACAATCAACCAACAATGGAGGCCCATTGAAGAGTTGCAGAGTGCCCGAAAGGCATCCAGATGACCAGACGTCACCTCCTTCTTCCAAAGAGTACTCTATGAATCTAGCGGAAACACTTTCGCACAAACTAGATTATGGATACAGTGTGCGGAAATGCTTCTGCTGCATTTTTAGGGTTTACCTGCATTTTGGACTTTAAATAAGGAATTAAAGACAGTACAGCAATAACCACATAGTCCAAAATTAAATTTGTGTTTATTTTCTTGTTGTAAATTTGAATGTTGCATGTTGAAATTTTTATGTTTATGGTAGCTGAATGTTTTCCTTGAAAAGTGTAAAGATTTGTAAATTAGATTGTCACCTTAATAAAGCGCCATTTGTGTAAGGTTTCTTTTTGTTAGATGCATGTTTAAATGGAAGAGAAAATCTTTTTATGGGGAAAAAACACATTTTGAAGCAGAAAACTTACAGCTTTTAAATAATACCCACTGTAAACTTTTGTGTACTTTTCTTCTAAGTTCATTCATTCACCAGAAATGTATTGAGCACCGACTGTGTCCAAGGCACTGCTCTTACGCAGGCAAGATAAAGCAATGAACAAAACCAAAATGTGGAAGGATATAAATAAAAGATTGTAAGTACTATAGAAGAAAATGAAGTGGAGGTGGGGGTGTGAGATTTGCATGAGGATTGGTCTTGGAGGGAGTGCCGGGACTCAGGTGGTGAACAGGAATGAGGGGTATGCTGAGACTGGCCCTAAAATGCCAAGGGCCATAATGGTGATGCTCCTCTGAGGGCTGAGGGAGCAGAGGATGGGGAGTTTTGCCAGTACCCTGGGGCCACTCTTCACTCTGGCCAATGGTAACTTGGAAGCTGCGGAAGTTGCAGTCATACCCAGCATGCTCCTGGGATCAGCCTTGACTGTCGTTCTAGATGGGACCAAGTAGAAAGTTGCTTTTCATTATTTTTTTTTTTTAATTGAGACATAATTCAGATATCATAGTTTTCATCCTTTTAAAGTATACAAGTTTTTAGTATAGTCACAAAATTGTGTGACTACCTCCATTATCTAACTCTAGAACATTTTCAGCCTCCCATAAAGAAACCCCATGCCCATTAGCAGTCACTCCCATTTCTCTCTTCTCCCAGCTCCTGGAAAACACTAATAAACTTTCTGTCTTTATGGATTTGCTTTTTCTGATGTTTCGTGTAATACAGTATGTGGCCTTTGTGTCTGCTTTTACTTCGCTTAATGTTTTCAAGCCTCATCTATGTTGTAGCGGGTATCAGCACTTCATTCTTTTTTTATGGTTGAATAATATTCCGTTGTATGGATATGCCACATTTTTTAATTCATCGGTTGATAGACTGTCGCAGCGGGGACGGTTGTCAGGACGGCGAAGACAGTAACCAACTGCACAACTCTTACAGAGAAGTGGGGCCAGGAGGGTCAGTCTGAGGAGTCAACCCTGGCTTTAGTCTCAGGAGTTTATTTATAGTCAATACAGCAAGCAGTGAAGCAAATAACAGAACAACGGGCTTTGGGTGAGTAACAATAAGTTTCGGGCAAGGGAGAAGGAATTCAGGTAAACAAGCCAATCAGTAACAGGGCAATAGGTTTGGGAAAACAAGTCGTGCCTAATCTCATTCTTATCGTTGACAAGTCTCCAACATGTCCTATACAGCATAGAGGCCTGTGGGGGCTGCAGTTGTCAATAGTGCAGCCATGTTTAAATGGCATATATCCCACAATAGACATTTGAGTTGTTGCCACTTTTTGGCTCTTACCAATAATGCAGTTCTAAAGAGTCAAAATATACAAGTTTTTTGGCAGATAATGTTTCAGTTCTCCTGCGTATGTACCTAGGTTCATTAACTTTTAAATAAAAATGATAAATACTTTTCTATTAATTTCCATGTGAATATGATGGAAATTTAAGAGAAGAGTGAAATTCTTCTCACCTACACAGTAACAAAAAATAACTAGCCCTTGCTAGAGACTTGGAATTTCTGAAAGGACTGAATAAAACAAGACTACTTCCTCCAACATTTGCTGCTTCCTATCACCTCAAGTTTTCCCAGATGAAAATCTCCAATGGTTCATCTCCACAAATGATATGTGCCAATTGGGAAGCACATTTTTATTTGCTTAAGCTTCTGAAGTGGAATATGATACCATTTAAACAAAACAAAACAAAAATGAACAGCCTAGTGATGATTGGCCAACTTGGAGAGCAAACTGTAGAAGTGTTTTTTGAGGGATGATTGTGCCTTTCAACTTTGAAACACATACCTGATTGACCTGCAGTGGCCGTACGGGGGTGATCATGGCAATGGAAGAACCATGTAGCAGGTTTCGTAGGGAGAAAGGTCAAGAGCAATGTTGACACTTAAATTCAAAAGATTTATT